CATTGATCAAACTATAAAGAAAGCTTCTAAACGTATGTATTTCCTAATACAATTGAAAAGGGCCAATGTCGCAAGGCAGGAATTAATTCTTTTTTATACATCTTGTATAAGGTAAGTCCTGACCTGCGCATCGCCGGCGTTTTTCTACGCCCTACCACTGATTGTATTTAAAGAAAGATCTAGAGAATGTAGAGAAACGGGCATTCTCAATCATTTGCCCGGACCTGGCCTGTAGAGAGGCCTCAGAGCTTTCAAATATTATGTCTATCAATGACTACATCGCTAGCTTATGTAAAAAGAACTTCCTCTCGATTGCTAATGACCCGGCCCATAGCTTACATAAAATGCTTCAATCGTCAGGGCCGTTGTGTTATAATCTCCGGTGCAAAAGGCGTTTTGCGATTCCCAAATGTAGGACCGAGCGTTTCAAAAATAGTGTTTCAGTAAGATCATGTATTAACAACGAATTTTAGTGCTCGGTGAGTTTTGCAATGAGATCGATGCCGTTGTATATATTTTAACAGTTCAAGCTTTTATCATATTTATAGGATATTATTATCATTTAGGACTTTAATACTATCATATCACAATTATAAGTTATATTTTATACTTTATTGTAAATACACAATTCAGCTCAGTTCAAGCTTTTTATAAATAAGCTATCTATCTATCTATCTAACACATCCTAGTATGCTCCTAAACTCCGACAAGAAATGCTACTATACCAGCCCCCCCCCCCCCCCTCACCTCTCACCACTTGTTAAGTAAATCCTGCCAACCTGCTTAGCTTTAGGGTGATGTCAATGAAATGACATAAATTTTTCAAGGCGAACGAAAAATCTGTGAAACAAAGAAGATATGAATTACTGACATTTTAAAAGAGGCTTCCAAAACATATGAATATATTAACAAAGTTGAAATGTATATGTGCACGATCCTTCGCAGTAAAGCACTATTTAAGCAATAGTGAAAATCAGACCTGAAAAAAAAAAATTTTAATTTACAACAGCGTGAAGTGGATCAACTATTCGGTCATTAACACCTTTCAAATCACAGCGTTGTTTATTTAAAACACAATGCAACGCTTTATCGAAGCAATCTGTTCTTAAAACCTGTCAATGCTTCTTTTGTTTGGATTAATTAGACGCTTAAAGGAAATTGACTGGAGCACGACCATATTCATCTCGTAGCGCATCGTGAAAGCATCCACATTACTATTAACATGGAATATCATAGAAATTCTAAAAGGCCCAAAAAAGCGACTGGTATTTCGAGAAACCGCCCAGTGCCAGTTCCAGCACCCATACCGGAAATCCTTGTGATAAAAGTGAGTTAAGAAGTTTGTAGAGAGTGAAATATAACTTACTTAAGTAGGGTCGACCGAGAATAGGGAATTCCTGATCGTGACACTCAACGTCATTCACTTGATTGCTTCGATGGCTGTGATCCAACATTCGATCAGCTGACTTGGCTCAGAACTGTGCCGTGTTTAGGCATGTTTTCCAAACACAGAACATGTACCGATTATCCAGCCTCTGCGTCGTGAGACAGGACAATAGTTACCCTTTCATTTTCAGTCCTTTGTGAGGTAGATGTGAAAAGAAGCTAGGTGAATCATAGCATTTTTTATAAGTTTATTTTGATACTTTAAAACTCCCTGAATGGTAGTACTAATGATACATGAAAAAAAAAAAAACACCCCTTAGTGCAGGGTTAAAAAACTTTCCCCTTGATGTCTTCTTTTAGCTTGCTCGGCATGTTTCCAGCTTTTCTTGATCACTTTTCTTTGCACGTACTAGCCCACTTCTCTACCCTCCCCCACCCCTACGACTCGCGCATCGGTTGCATAGCAACGAGTGTCTCGCTAGCGCAAGGCGCATTCAAAGATGGCGGAGAAGAAGTCTCGATCGGCCATTCGAATAAAATCTTCGGAGAGAGACAGGAAGAAATCTGCAGCGAAACGGGACTCGGCAACAAATCGAAACAAAGGCCAATCAGTTAGTCTTTTGATTTATTGTTGTCCTATGTGGATCTAGAGGAACAATGCGTCGTTTTGTTTTTCAAAACTTCGAATTCGACTTCAGCTGATCATGATGTTTACAGCAGTTTTACTGTATTGTGATAGTCTTATTTTGTTTCTCTCTGTACTGCGACTTTGTTTGAGATCAGGATTCCTCTTTGGTAGTTATGTCTAAGTCATGTGAGCAGAGTTTGAAGGCAACATACTTCTGAAAAAAATCGTACTTGTCATAGAACGATTTTCAACTTGAAAGAACGTTTTAATTGTTAAGGTTGAGCCAGCATGTTGCCTTTGTTTTGAATGTTGCATTCAAAATCCTCTTGACGTGTACTATCACTTGATAAATGTAAATTCAACGGGATCGTGCACTTTTTAAGAATAGCTGTCAATTAATTCTTTAAATAAATAATACGAAACAAGAACTAATCTCTTTGTGCGTGCACTGTGGAAGTGCTGGTGTTAATCTTGTTTGAGTGAAGTTATGTCTCATGTTCTTCTCATGAAGGAGGAAGAGGACAAAGAGTCACTAGCGTGGAAGGTCCTTTCAGAAGAACAGACTCAGACTCTGAAGGAACTTACTGTACATGAGTTGGAAGTGTAAGTGGAAGTGTCTGATAAACCACACTTATCTGTCAGTCATTTCACACATAATATAAATAAGTGGATTTCATAAATTGATGTAGATTGAAAAATTGACTTTCTATAGACAGGACAATCTCTCTTGCCTGAAGGATAGACTTGGATTGCTTGTTCATCAGCACATTAGCAAAAAAAACGATGCTATGTTTTGACAAAAGTGAAAAGTAGTTCTGAAAATGGCACAAACAATTGCTAACATTTTATGCTTTCATATACTGAGATGTCCTCTGTGAAAAAGACTTTACACACCATTATTTGTGATAGCAACAATTCATTTGACTTCTTTATGTACTGTTTTATTTACTGTTTTATTCTGTTATGACCTCAGGAAACTTGCAGAACTACTATCCATTGAAAATTATCACATCTCTCTACCTGAAGCTTGTGTACTGGATTACTATGTTGCAGGGTTTTGGTATCCTTTTAAATAAGAAAAATCACTGAAATCAGAATTAAAGACGAAATTGAAGTTTTGTAGGCTTACTAAGGTGTTGGTAGTGAACTGCAGGAGGACTTTCAAGAGAAATTTTTCTCAGATAAATGAACCAAACTATCACATGATTGTGGTGTTCATTTTCTTGTCTCATCCACTACTTAGAGAGACAAGATGAGAGGTGATCATTTGTGATAAAAGAGAGGCAATTCAATTAATGATGACAGACAACAAGAAGGTTCTTCCCTGTATTGTAAAATATATTCTATCGAGATATATTCTATCTAACCTATTGGCGAAACTAATGAACTTGTCAGTTATTTCAGGAGTGTATCCCTCTAAATTAAAGCATGCTAAAGTCATTCCAGTTTACAAAGATGATGATGAGACTGACCTGGCTAACTAACCGCTAACTAACCACCGCCCAGTTAGCTCAATGGATAGTGCACTGGACTGTTGTGCGGGAGGTCGAGGGTTCGAGCCCCGGCCGGACCAACACTCAAGGTCTTAAAATAATTGAGTAGAATTTGCTACCTTTCCACAACATCAAGAAATGGTTAGATATTCTAGTCTTCTCAGATAGGGACGAATAAATGGAGGTCCCGTCTCCTGCAGGGTTGGGGTAGGAGACGTTAATTTCCCACACACGAGATTACTGTGTGTTGGATGTCCTCCCCTGGGATGGGATGGGTGGGAAGGTGAGATCGAT